GAATTTCTTGGCCATTATTGTGCTTATGAATTTTAGGATCAGCTTGTCAAGTTCTGTGAAAAACCTAGTAGCTTTTAAAAAATTTTAAATTGGAATCAGTTAAGGGAAAATTGATATTTTGACTTAGCTACAGTAAGCTATTCCATAAACATAGAATGTTTTTTATATTCATATACATTTTCCTTTTTTGGGCTTTATTTAAAACTTTCTTATTTCTTGCTATAAAGGTCTAGAATATATTTTATTAGAGTTAGTTTATGTTACCATATATTTGCTGTTGCTATTGTAAATGCTATTTTTTATTTGACTTAAGCCTTCTAAAGTTTTGTATACAGAAGTGGTATTGGTTTTTTGGAGGGGGAGGTGGTAGTGTATGTAGACTTGTCTATCCAAACACCTTGCTGAACTCTAATTCCAGTAATTCTGATACTCTGTTGAGTTTTCTATGTAGATAACCATGTCAAATAATTCTTTTCTATTCTTATGCCATTTTCTTTCCTTATTAATAACTAGGACCTCCAATAGAATATTGAATAAATGTAGCAATAGTGGACATTCTTGTTCTTGATTTTAAAGAGTTTTCATTGTAAAAAAAAAAGTTATTTGCTATAGGTTTTGGATTCCCTTCTAGTCTCACTTGCTGTGAATTTTTAAGATAAATGATATTTCCTGATGCTTTTCCTTTATCGTTTATGTTCAAATTGTTTTTCTTTAATCTGTTCAAGTAGTGAGTTATATTTGTACAAAAAGTATGTATGTTATTCTTGGATTCCTGGGACACATTGGTCATTTGTATTCTCGTTTATGTGTCATTGGATTCTGTTTTCTAATATTTTGTATATGGGCTTTGTTTTCATTTATGTTTATTAGTGAAATTGACCAGTAATTTACATTTTTCATAATGTCCTTGTCAAGTCTTGGTATCTAGATTATACTCATTTTACAAGTTGGGGGAGTATTTCCTCCTTTTTTATTCTCTGGAAGAATTCGTGTGATACTGGAATGGCCTGTTTCCTGAAAGTTTGGTGGAACTTGATTTTGCAACTTCTGGACCTGGTTGTTTGTGTGTGTGTATTGGGGTGTGGGGTATAAAGTTTTTTGTCTTGTATTTTTTTTTCCTCCCTTACTGGTCATAGGGACTATTCAGGCTTTCTTATTTTTCTTGAATCAATTTTAATAGTTTGTATGTTTATAGACATTTGTCTATTTTATCTGTATTACATTTATTGCATAAAAGTTATTCATGGTATTAATATTTACTTTTAAATTTCTCCTGTAGCTGTAGTTATGTTCGCCACAATCTATCTTTTAGTTCTCTTCAGCAATGTCTAAAGTGATCTCCTTTTGAGTCCATGCACTGAATTTTCACCATTAGAATATATTTTTATTTCTACAAGTTCCATTTGCTCTCTTTTAAGATTTTTTTTTTTAAGACATAGGATCTTGCTTTGTCACTAACCATGCTGGAGTACAGTGGCATGATGATAGCTCACTGCAGCTTCCAACTCTGGGCTCAAGCGATCTTGCTGCCTCAGCTTAGCTAGTTGGGACTATAGGAGTGGTGCCACTGCGCCTAGCTAATTTTTTTATTTTTAGAGAGACAAAGTCTCCCAATGTTGCATAGGCTGGTCTCAAACTCACAGACTCAAGCCCATCCTCCCACCTTGGCCTCTAAAAGTGAGCCTCTGCATCAGGCTTCCTTTTAAGATCTTAATAGTTGTTTTTGATAGCCTCTTATTGCTCACTCATTTGTGATTTCGTTTCTCTTTCTTTCCCTCTTTCTCTTTAAATTATCTGCTTAAATAAGGATCTGTTTCTCTTTTTAGTACTTAATCCTGGGTTATGATTGGTGTGGCTGATAAAAAATTTTTAACAGTGGATATTATATACTTCCCTAGTAAAAAGTTCAAAATAAGGTTGTGGATACTTTAACATAGAGATATGTAGATCAGATTGTTGGTGTTTAGCCAATAAAATATATGTTAAAAGGAGATTACTTGATGGATGATTATGGTTTTCTTAGGTAAAACAAAAAATTGGAAAAATTATTATTTGTGGGAAGTGTAACATAGAAAAAAATTAAGCATCAAGGAAGAGCAGCAGGAAATGGTTGCTAGCTACTTCTTCCTAGATGGAATATGTTCAGCTAGCATTTGATATTTCTTGATAGCAGTTATCACTCATTTGGTTGGATATATTTGTCTTTCCAGTTAGACGTGATCTCTTTTGGGGCAAACACTTTTGTTGTTGTTTTGATTTTTTTTTATATATAGTGTCTTCCAGAATAACTGTTATATATAGTAAGCATATAGTCAATACATTTACTATAGCTAGGTAAGTAAGATTATAAAACTACTAAACAAAGTTCAATTGTAGTTAATTATAATGAACTAATCATTGCCAAAATATGCTTACAGTATAAGGAATGATACCAGAAGCTGTTAATAGCTAGATCTGGATGAAACATACCTTTTTAATGCATTGTGGAGTTCAGAAGAAACACGAGACACTTCCAGATGTGTTCTTCAGCCCATTTGCTGCTAATCAGGATAAGCTCTTAATGATAAGAAAATACAGGAAAGGCAGAACCTTAGGAACGGGTCAGATTTTCATTTAGTAGAGATTAAACTTTGGGCCAGTAACAAGATGGGGAGAGTGGAAAGGGAGCTAAATCTGAAAATTTCCTTATTAAGAAGGATCCCTCTAACCTGGATAAAAGTGATCATAAGGAGGCAAAAGTGGTCCTAATAGGTAGACAGCTTCCTACTTTCCCTGATCCCAGTTGGTCCTGGATGCTCAAATAGGCACTGAAAAAACACAAGGTGTGACAGAAATAACAGACAACAGATTTAGGCTCTACCCCTCAGCCCATGCTTTGATCATTCTTTAACATTTAAGTATAGCCCAAGATCCAGCCGCTGAAGCCTGACAGCCCCCAGGCCTTTGTGAAAACCCAATTCTGCCCACAGAGAAACTTTTATTCCATTTGTATCCCAGGAATCAGAACCTTTTTTTTTTTTTTTACCATGCCCCACCCCTTTCAGCAATCAATTTGAAAAACAGTTTATGTGTAAACTTTGCTACAGGACATTCAATACTACATTTAGTGTTTGTATCACAAACAACACAGTTGAAAGACCAACACTTTTTACTTACTATGAAATGGGCAGCAGTCTCAGATTTCAACCTGAATTGTGAAATGTCATACAAAATATTTTTTAAAAAGAATAATAATAGTTGAAAATTATTGTGCTTGAATTTAAAAGAAAAAATAAGGTGTAAGTATAAAGAATGAGGAACTTAAGTGCCATCCTCGTAGAGTTCCTTGCCCGGTCCTACCACCATTCACCAAGGGAAATTGAGAACACCTAAAATTTGTTTTCAGTCATTAGTGAAAGGAGGAATGATATGGACATTGCCCAAAGGTTGAAAAGTATTGATATGCATTTACTTGTTTACAATCAGTTTATCTATTATCATTAAGTTGCTTAAGTTACTATTAGGATTATCTCAGGATTTCATAGTTTTCCCATATTTTATATCATACTTCTTTCCATGACTTTATGGTTGTGAGGGTCTTGAAAAATGAAATTTGAAATAAATTTGAATTGTTTTATATTTTTACCAATCCATGCTATTTAAAATAAAGTGTATATTTAATGCTTTTCAGAAAAATTCCTTCCCTGTACTTTTGTTTTAAACCATTATTATTGTTATTAAATATTTTTTAGAGACAGGATCTTGCTTTGCTGTCCAGGCTGGAGTGTAGTGGAATGATCATAACTCACTGCAGCCTCAAACTCGTGGGCTCAGACAATCCTCCTGTGTCAGCCTTCTGAGTAGCTAGGACTACAGGTGCACACTATCCCTCTGGCTAAATTTTTAATATTTTGTAGAAATAGAGGGCTCATTATGTTGCTCAGGCTGGTCATGAACTCCTGGCCTCAAGCAATCATCCTACCTCAGCCTCCTTAAATACTGGGATCACAGGTGTGATCCACCATGCCTAGCTATTTTAAACCATTTTTTGCTAATGTTTTTGCATAACCTTTTCTAAAAACAGCAAACAATTGATTAAGGTGAATTTCTGGGCCAATTTGAAGTTTAACTCTGAAAGGCTGTGTTACTAAGTTTCTGTAGGAAAATCTGTCTACTGCTATTATTTTGTTTATAGATTAAAATTAACTAACTGAAAGGATAAGTGAGAGCTGCTTAAATAAAGAAGTTAATTTTAGATTTTTTTCTTGATTAATTTCCAGTCTCAGGGTCAATTGATCTCTGGCTTTTGGTACTGAGTAACATGACTTTCCAGACAAGCACGTAGTCATTCTAGGTATATTGCTATTTTTAAAAAAACAGCTTTAAAAAGATCTGTTAGAACATGGGAAAAAAGATCTTGCTCTCTTGTGGTTTTACAGGGTGGCAGAGGTTTGGTTGCTTGTATGTTTCACTCAATTGCTTTCTGTTCAATGAATAAGATCAACACCATGCATCACAACTTTGCAGACTCACTGCAAAGGAAATAGCAGGAGGTAAAATGACCTCAAGTGAATGTGGCTTTTTTGTGGGGTGTGGTGGGTGGGCAGTGCTACAACTAAATAAACAAATTGAATTATGCAGGAAGAGGACCTTTATTTAACTCATCTTCATACTTTTTTTTGGGTATCATTCCTTGTTCTTTAGACATTTTTACAATGATTAGTTCATTGTAAACACATAACTACAGTTAAATTGTTTAGTGGTTTTATGATCTCATTTTATTATTTATCTATCAAGCTCTTTTTCTCTTTTGAGTTTACAGCTTATTTGTTGTGAGTGCCTTACTGTCAAGATCTAAGACTCACAGTGTCCACGGACTGGAACTAATTCCCTTTATCATGTCATGTTGGGTTCTTTTTGCTAGTTTATTTTCTAAGTTTTTGTATTTGGGTCAAACAACTATTTTATACTCTGAAAAATAAAACTGTTATTTGCTTCTCTCCACCATAAGTTTATTTTTTTTCCTCACTGCCTCTTTGATTAGGTCTTTATTCAATATAAGCTATCCAAAATGATTTGACCTTCATGGAATAAACAAATTTAAGTTTATGCAGCAGGCTTCTTTTCTTCTTTAGTAGATTTCTTTCCTGCTGCCTTCTTTTTAGCTGCTGGTTTCTTGGTAGCTGCAGCCTTTTTTCCCATCAAAGCTTGCTTCTGCTTCTTAATACCAACAGCCTTAAATTTGTGATTTCTGGCCGGGTGAAGAATGGTCTTTGCATGTGGGTCTAGCTTCAACATGACTCTCAGGTTTTCAGTGAATTCTTCTTCAGGACTCTGTGTTGAATTTTCTTGCATGGTGCTGGAAGAGCTCTTTGAATCCCTGGGCTTTTCAAGATTCTTTTAATATCTGTGTTGATCATCTTGTTCATGGGAAGGTTGTAGTTACTCTTGAGGGAAGCAGCTTTATGCCAAATGCCATGCAATTCATTTAACTTTTAGAAAACACTTTTGGTTCAAATCCAAAAACATCCCACATGCCCACCAGAAGCAAGTTTCAAAATGTTCATCTTTGCTTGCATAAGCAGAGTAATTCCAGGGACGTTTCTGAAGGCCTTGATGATGCCATTGTCCTCATTATAGATGATGCAGGGTCTCCTGTGCTGGATACAACAGTGTCTCATTTTGCCCTTGTCAGCTCACATTTGCTGAGAGGCATAGACCTTTTTTAATATGATTCCAGGCCTAAAGTTTCTGAAGAGGCAAAACAGCCTTCTTGGTCTTTGTACCTTCAACTTTATCTTCAACACCAAAGGAACTTCCTCAGTAAGATGACATTTAGGCATGACCAGTCCTGCTAAGGCCCAGGCAGCTAGGGTAGAGCAGATGGCATATTGCTTTTGGGTTGTATTCACTCTATGGTGCCAGTGGTGCCAGGTGTTGGTTGATGCAAACATGTGACCTCTATGACACATATTTCTGCAAGTATGTTGGCCAGAATGGTGAATTTCTCCACCTTGAACTCTGGGAATTCCAGCCACAGCTCTGCCAATACCCCAAGACTCAGCACTGATCTAATAACCTGCTAATTCACTAATAATATAGGGCTGTCTGTTTTGTGCAAGTTGGTGTGAACAAAGTTCACAGTATCTGCTTTAACACAGCAGGCAAAGTGACATTTTTGCCGGGTGACATCCTCTTTTTGGAGTATACTGATACCAGTGGATGTGCACAAACCATGGTGGGGAGAGCAGCAGGCCATGCTCCTTAGCTTGCCTACTCCTACCACCATAAGTCTTTTGGGTATGTTTGTGGCCTTTTATTGGTTTAGTATTGGGTATAAGATATTTTGAGAATATTTTAAAGGGAAAGGAGAATAAATCCTGCATTAGGCATGATAAACTTGCTGTCTGTTCTCTTAGAAGACAGAGCGATCCTGGATAGTTTCTTTTTTATTGTACTGCAAATTATAGTCACATATCCAGGAAAAACTGCCTGCTTACTGACTTGACTTTATTTTAATTTTTTTAGAATTTTTTAATTTCAGCATATTATGGGGATACAAATGTTAAGGTTACATATATTGCCCATGATCCCCCCTCGAGTCAGAGCTTCAAGCGTGACCATCCCCCAAACACTGCACATCTCACTCATTATGTTTGTATATATCCTTCCCCTCCTCCCCCCTCCCACCCGCCCGACACCCAATAAATGTTTTTCCTATATGTCCACTTAGGTGTTGATCCATTAATACCAATTTGCTGGTGAGTACATGTGGTGCTTGTTTTTCCATTCTTGAGATACTTCACTTAGTAGAATGGGTTCCATCTATCAGGAATAATAAGATGCTATATCACCATTGCTTTTTAAAGCTGAATAGTACTCCATGGTATACATACACCACATTTTATTAATCCACTCATGAATTGATGGGCACTTTTTGGGTTGTTTCCACAGCTTTGCAATTGTGAATCGTGCTGCTATAAACATTCGAGTGCAGGTATCTTTTTCATAAAGTGATTTTGATTTTTGGGTAGATGCCTAGTAGTGGACTTACTGGATCAAATGGTAGATCTACTTGTATCACTTTAAGTATCTCCATATTGCTTTCCACAGAGGTTGAACTAGTTGTAGTCCCACCAGCAGTGTAGGAGTATCCTATCTCTCCGCATCCATGCCAACATTTATTGTTTGGGGACTTTTTGATAAAGCCATTCTCACTGGAGTTAAGTGATATTCATTGTGCTTTGATTTGCATTTCCCTGATGATTAGAGATGTTGAGCATTTTTCATGTGTTGTTGGCCATTATTCTGTCTCCTTTGAGAAGTTCTGTCATGTCCTTTGCCCATTTTTATAGAGTTGTTTGATTTCTTGCTGATTTTCCTGAAGTTCTAAATAGATTCTAGTTATCAGCCCTTTATCAGATGTGTAGCTTGTGAAAATTTTCTCCCATTCTGTGGGTTGTCTGTTTGATCTCTTGACAGTTTCTTTGGCTGTGCAGAGGCTTTTTAATTTGATCAGGTCCCATTTATTTATTTTGTTGCTGCTGTGATTGCCTTGGGTCTCATAAGTTCTTTGCCTAGGTCAATGTCTAGAAGAGTATTTCCAGCGTTTCTTTAGAATTCTAATAGTTTCACCTAATGTTCAAGTCTGTTACCAGCTAGGTTGCTTTTTGTGAGAGGTGAAAGGTTGGTCTGTTTTAGTCTTCTACATGTGGCTATCCAGTTTCCCAGCACATTTATTGAATAAGGATCCTTTCCCCAGTGTATGTTTTTGTTGCTTTGACTGACTTGATTTATTGCCAAGTATCAGGTAATTGAGGATTGTGGGGAGAAGGATTTGAAAAATCTGGACTTTACTCCATGAATCAGAGAAGAGGCAAGATATTTTGTTCTGAAGTGTTCTCTGTGTAATGCTATGGTTTGGGGCACAGAATCAAGCCAGATTGGTGAGAATCAATCTCTGCTCCACCACTTATAGCTTTGTGTACTTTGGGCAGGTTAAACTCTAATGTCTCCCTTTCCTCACCAGAAGATGAGATGGTTGTAAGAGTGCCACTTCATGGACTTAACTATGAGTTAATGAGTTAACTTAGGTAAAGCACTTAGTGCCTGGCATTCGTAAATTCTGTAGATGTATTGTTGCAAAGTCAATATGTGTGCGTCAAGGTGTACAAACATTTCCCTGAAGGGTTTGAAATGTAAAACTTAATTTTCCTGAAAGTCTTTTTATATAGTTATTTTGAATAGCCCCAAAGTATAAGGACTGAAATATCAAAAATTGTCTGTGTTTGGGTTATCTTCACAGTATACTCTGCGTTCCTTGGGAAACATTTCTTCTGTCTCAGCTGTTCCACTGCCCAGCTGAGGTGGAACGATCACAGCACTGGGAGACAGGGTAGCCTCACCTGGCTGGGCTCAGGAGCCTTGCTGTCAGAGATGGGTTTTGCTTCTCTTATAATAGCACTTAGTTGAATAGATGCCATCTCCTCACTGGGCACTTGAGTATTTTTAAAAGAAGTAAACATCCATGTAGGATTTATTAGGATAGTGATTCATCCATTCAGCAAGTATTTTTCTAGGGTTTATACTCAAGGCTTTCAGGAGTTTGCAGAGACATGGTTTTCTTTTCCTGCGTGAAGTAGAACTTTAGTCCTAACTGAAAGGAAAAACATCATGAAAATGATTGCTTTGTTCTTCTTGCTACCTTTGAAAACGACCTGATACAGTTTAATATTGTCCCCCTTCGTACATGTAAAAGGTTTACAATGATTGTTTTTATAGCAAAAGATCAAGAGGAAAAACTTTTCTTCTTTTTCTTTTTGATAAAAAGCCTACATTTCTTAAAAGTTTTTAAGTACTTGTGAATTTTGTTTCCCAAATTAGTAAATTGTCAATAAATTTGTTAATATTGGCTTTTAAAATTTTATTAATAAATATCTTCTGCATCTTTACAGGTCTGTCTTGCAGTTTTGCAAATAACTGTTCCTGATAAGATTTATAAATTTTAAATTCTGTTTTCCCAGATGATTAAGAATCTGTGGAACCTTCCCCAGCACTTGTAAGGGTAGTGATGCCAAATGGCAGCACATTCACATCTATGCTTCCTTAGCACCTTGTGCTAACCTCCTCCAGCACTAATCACTCAGAAACTATAGTATTTCTTCCATTCTAAGGTACACATTTTAAAAAATTCTTATTTCAATGTCTGTAGGATGCATCTTACAGTTGATGGCATCCCAGAGTCAACAAAAATGGTATTTGTTTCCTTGTTTTGCCTCCTAATTGACTATGAGTAGACTCCTTGAGGGCAGGAAATGATACTTATTAAATCTAATGTTTGATTTGCATTTAAAATCCTACTTTTGTGAATTACAGTGTAGCAGTTTTTAGGATCATTGGAATAGTGTTGGTTGAAATGACAGTATCATCAGGATACTTTTGTAGGGAGAGATGTTAAAAGGGCCTGGTAAATGCTAAGTAGTTTAATGCTGTTTCTGTCCCCTTCTTTGTGACCCATCTGTCTTTCTCTTTTGGTTGATTCTCTTCATATGGATTTATACCTCACCAACAAAACATCAGTTTTGGAGATTTCAGTGAAGTGAAAGAGTAAGAATTTTATGTTGTCAGTTATGATAGGCTATTGTTTTTTGAGCAAATTTTGGATATTGCTCTGTGCCATTGTCACTTTCCTTTATGTAAATGAGGAAACAGGGAGTCAGTGTGTTCAGAGACATAAAATTTAGTCTGTGATGGTGGAAGAAGGGCCAAACTTCCTGCTTAGGGCTTCTGATTCAGTGTTTTAGATTACTCTTTCTGCTTTGAAAGAATTCTCTTATGAACTATTTTTATTAGTTTAAAATTATTTATCTTATTTATAAATAGCTCTGTGGTTATGAGACTTTGGGCTTTCACATTCTTATCACAGTATATGCAGCGTTTGCTTGAAAAGATAGCATTGGTCTGGTCTCCCTTTATTTTGCCTCCAGTACCCTAAAGCCTAGATTTAATTTTAGTGCTAGAAAAAACTGCTTAGTGGGTCTTGTTGTTTTCTTTAAGCTTTTACATGTGGGTGATTAGAAAAGTCTTATCTAGGACCTTAATCGGCATTTTTCTAGAAATGATTTCCGTGTAAATTCTGAAATAGACTTTATTTAATTTTTTTAAGAAGAGCTTTAGATTTACAGAAAACCAGAAAAGATAGTACAGGAAGTTTTCGTGTATCTGGACCCAGTTCCTCTATTAACATTTTACATTGTATGGTACATTTGTTAGAATTAAAGAACCAATATTGATATGTTATTATTAACTAAAGTCCATACTTTATTCAGATTTCCATAGTTTTTACCTAATGTCCTTTTTCTGTTCCAGGATCCTATCAGGATTCCACATTACATTTAGTTGTTGTGCCTTAGGCGCCTTTCATCTGACTTTCCTGTTTTTGGTGACCCAGACTATTTTGAAGAGTACTCATTAAGTGTTTATAGAATGCCCTTCTATTGGAATTTATCTAGTGTTTTTCTCATGACTGGTCTAGGGTGATGGGTTTTTGGGGGGAAGACCACCGAGGTAAAATGCCATTTTCATTGCATCACATCAAGGGTACATACTATTGACTTGATTTATGACTACTGATGTCAATCACCTGCCTCTGAGGTGCTGGTTTCTCTGCTGGAAGTTACCTCCCCTTTTCCCCATATTGTATTCTTTGGGAGGAAGGTATGACGTGCAGCCCGCTCTTAAGGAGTGGGGAATGCTGTGTCATTTTGAGTAAACATATTTGAATGGTAGAGCTTCAGTTTAAAAATTTACCTAGTGCTAGTGAATTTTTTTTTTAAACAAAAATGACCACATAAATAAAACATTAAAAAATGCATTCAGAGATTTGGTTTGAGAAAAGTTTTCAAGATGTTTTTCATTCTCAGTGTTTCAGCCTTTGCTATTGCATGGCAGCTGTTAGATGCTCCTCTTTGTTTTATGCCATCTGATTGATAATTACTTTTTGAAAAAATGTAATGGAAATGTGGAAGATCATTACATCAAAAACTCTTTAATAAAATTTGTTAATATTTTGATCTGCATCTATTGCATGTCTGCACTTCTTATTTCTGCACATATTATTTCTAAACTTGACTTAGTTAGTATGTAAATTATGATTAGAGACCAGAACAGTTTAGGACCCAAAATGATCAAGGGAAAGCACCTTGTTGGAAACCCCCATGACAATAAAACTCTCCTTGTAGTTCCCATTTGTGTGTTTCAATTATAAGACTTATGTTAAAATTAGATCAGAATTTCCATTGTAGACTCTCAATTTCATAGTTGTGTAACTGCCATGTAAACTTGATTGTAAACAAAGGCTTTTAATGATGGTACTTATTTGAACAATTTAAGACAGGGTTATTCAGCTCATGGGGAAGAAAATACATGTCTAGCTTCACATTTTAAGTTGAGAAATTGTGAAGACAGGCTTCGTTTCTAAAGGTGAGTTTTATAATTTTTCCTAATTTTCTATAAAAAGGATGTATTATTTTATAGTAAGAAAAATAAAAACAATAAAATTAACTTGTTAAATTTTTTTATTTAGTGATTACTCTTGACACTTACTATGTTTTAAAACAATTGATTATTTTGACTACTTTCCTAGAACTACTAGAACCTTTGAATTATTTAATTCCATATACCCTCTTCCACCTTTTGTACTTTTGTTGGCTAACTGAATACCTCTAGTTTAGAGAATGAAAACATTTGTTTGATGGGTCTGTGCCAGCGGTCCCCAACCTTTTTGGCACCAGGGATCATTTTCATGGAAGACAATTTTTCCATGCACCAGGCAGTAGGGAGATGGTTTCAGGATCATTCAAGCATTACATTTATTATACATTTTATTTCTATTATTATATAATGAAATAATTATACAACTCACCATAGGTTGGGGACCTCTGGTCTATGCAATAAGTTGTAGTGCAATATATTGTAGTGCTGGTACTGTGAAGATAGCTCTGTATTTGAGTTGTGATAGCTTGTGAGCAGAAAAAATTGTTTTTATCATCTCCTTGGGTTTATAAACTTCATAAAAAATAATAGGGAGAACAAATTTTATAGGGGGCATGTATAGGTGTATAGTTTCCTAGGGCTGCTGTAACAAATTACCTCAAACTTGGTGTCTTAAGCAAAGGAAATTTATTCTCTCATAGTTTTTCTGGAGGCCAGAACTCCAAAATCAAGTTGTTGTCAGTGTTGGTTCATTCTGGAGGTTCTGAGAATGAATTGTTTCCATGCCTCTGTCCCAGCTTCTGGTAGTTGTTGGCAGTCCTCAGTGTTCCTTGGCTTGTAGACACATCACTTCAATCTCTGCCTTTGCCTTCAGGTGGCCTGCCCCTGTGGATCTTTTCTGTGTCGACGTGCCTCACATCTCCCTCTGTTTTCTTTATTATAAGTTCAGCAGTCATTGGGTTTAGGTCTGGGATGATCTCAACTTAATTACAACTACAAAGACTCTATTTCCAAATAAGGTCATATTCACAGGTATCAGGGGTTAGGAGTTGAACATATCTATTTGGGTGCCACTATTCAATCAGGAAGATTGAGTAACCAATCAATCTTCCTGAATTTACTAATAAGCACTATGAAAGTGCTTTTACCAAATGGAATAATAGCTGTGGAATCTGACCTATTTTATATGCATATAAAATGTGATTCAGAATGTAGTTGCATGTTTACTTTCTCTTTATGTGGTTTACAATTGATGTGGCATTCTTTTATTATGACATTAGGCTGAATACATAGAGACAAGCTGTAATTGTAACTTAAATGGTGTGAGCAAGACCTTAAATTCTATGAACTTGTGCCATTTAGCTCTTGAGTTTTTTAACCTACGTACTTGGGTATTTCTGTAAGATGGATGTTTATATGTATGGTTCCTTTTGATATGAATCATGTTTGTCTCTATTAAAAGAATTTAAATTTATCCAGTGATCTAGTTGACTTAAGTTTGTGTGCCAGAAGAAGGGATTTTATAAAAACTGAGAATTGGTTGAAGGAGGTTATTAAACAATCAGTAAGTATTAATATAAGAAAGCTGGTTCTTGGTATGAATAGATAGCCACTTTGGGAAAAGTGCTGACCCAGCCTGCAGGCATGTGGTTTGGAGGGAAACTCTGGTGAGAGCATTCTGTCCTCCTCTTTCATTTTGAGTTGAAGGCCATCAGGAATTTAGTTCTTCTTATAGGAAAATAAAGCAGTGGTATAGGCTTAAGGTTGTTTTAAGTTTAGTTGTGCTATGACCCAAATGTCTCCACTGAAACATAAGCTCCATAAGTGCCAGAAACATGCCTTACTTACGTATGTATGTATGTATGTATGTATGTATGTATGTATGTATGTATGTATGTTGAGACAGAGTCTTGCTCTGTTGCTGCAGATGGAGTACTGTGGTGTCGTCACAGCTTACTGTAACCTGCAACTCCTGGGCTCAACAGATCCTCCTGCCTTAGTCTCCTGAGTAGCTGGGACTATAGGCACATGGCACCACACTTGACTAATTTTTAAATTTTTTGTAAAGATTGAGCCTCACTGTGTTGCCCAGGCTGATCTTGTACTCCTGACCTCAAGTGATCTTCTGGCCTTGGCCTCCTGAAGTGCTGGGATTATAGGTGTGAGGTCCCCGGCCCAGCCCAGTTTTGTTCTCATTCAGGACTTTATCCTAGGTCCTAGGTAGTAAATATGTAACAAATATTTGTAGAATGAATAAACTTAATATATTATGGGCACTTTTGAAATCCATACATAGAGACATATCTCATTCTTTTTAATGGCTATTTACTATTCTGTGATGGATATGCCATAATGCATTTAACCAGTCCTCTGTTCCACTGTTAGGACATTTAAATTATTAACAGTTTTTCATAGTAACAAAGCTGCCATGACATATCTTGTTTGTGTGTATATGTTTATGTATCTTTGGTAGTTTATAATGTTAATTTCCTTCATTCATGGCTATGTTTCATCTTAAAATTAGGCACATTTTAAAATGTATTATTGAAATAATTTTCAAGTATAATTGACCTACATTTTCCTAAATACATTTAAAATGCTTTCAAATTTGTTTTCTTCTGAATGGGTGAAAATCTTTTGCCACAAAATCTTGAAAAAGGTGTCAGAAGCAATGTGTGTGTACACATTGTGTTGATTATCTTTGTGGGATGGTTTTTGGCAAATCCTTGTGAAGGAAGGCTTAGAACCCTTCTGTCCATTGCATAGCAAGGCTGGGAAGGAAGGCAGCAGCTATTATAGGATGAAATTAGGACACTGAATAACACATAAGGAAGAATTCCCTTCATGCTTAAGAGAGGTGCTTAAACTTTAGGGTAACCATATCTCTATTTGCCTAGGAAAGTCCTGGTTTATGCTTGTTGTCTTGATGTAATTATTAGCATCCCCTTTCAGTCCCAGTTTATCAGTAGTTATATGATTACCCTACTTAATCTCTCCATTCTTTAGTTTCCTTGTCTGTAAAATAGAGATGGAACAGTGCCTGGTATATAGCAAAGCAGCATAAGCTGTCACTGTTGCTGTTACGATTATTTTATTAGCAACATTTGTTTATCTTTCCCTGCTTCTTGAATTACTTCCTTCTCTTGGCCTCCTGGCTACTATTTTCTTTTTTTCCTACATTTTTGGCCTTTCCTTCTCAGTTTCCTTGCCTGGATCTTCCTAATTTTCCTAACTTCTCAACATTGGAGTGCCCCAGATCCTAGTCCCTGTTCTTTTCTCTGTCTGATCTAGCTGACTCCCAAATTTATCTTCAACTTCACCTTTTCAGTGAATTTCAGATTCATTTCTCTCCTAGATGTCTAAAATATCTTAATAGTACAAGTGCAAAACTACTCTTTATTATTGCTTCTCTTCTCTATCCCTTCTAGCCTGTTCTAGCTCAATAAATGATACCACCATTCTTTCAGTTAATTAGGCAAAACAAACAAACAAACAAAAACCCCCATGGCATCATCTTTGAGTCCTTTCTAAGAGACACTATATCCACATCCAATTCATCAGCAAACTCTCTTGGCTCTTCATTGGCAATATATGCAGATCTGGCTGCTTTTCACCTTTGCTCCAGCCATCCTCATTCAGGCTGCTGTTTTCTTTTCTTTTCTTTTTTTCATGGTACAAAAGTATTTAATAAGCAACACATCAGCACAGAAAAACACATAGTTCATAGCTCATCCTTTAAAACCAGAATACCCAGCGTAAAGTCAGTACAGATTCTTATTTTTACTTTAAAAAAAAAATCAAGGGTACATATCAGAATTGAACTACTATGTTTTTTCTTCTATCTAGAGATGTGATATACATGTTTTCTGACACGTAATATTCTACCAAACATTGCATTAAACCAAAGCAGACAGATGACCAGCAAAGCTGTTTACTACCTCCTACTTATGCTGAGGTAGACTGGTGGAACACCATCTTGGTAGGAGAGATTTTGACAGGAAGAAGAAATTAGGAGTCCCTACTTACCCCAACAGAAAACCTAACAAACTGGTTTATATGGAAAGGATTTTCAGCAAACATGCACAAACACATTTAACATGCTATTAAGAACAGGATATCTTTGAGTCAATTTCCAGCACACAGCATACATTCATCAGAGCACAGTAAAATAAGAATGAATGCCAACATAGAAAGCATTTGTGCCTTCATAGCACGAACAACTAAGCACACAGCATATAATACTTTGATCTTTAAGTGGGTAATCATGGAAGTTCCAAGATCACGTCCACTAGGTTAGCCTGAGTATTTCATCTATAAAAATATTTTTTCAAAAATAATGCTTAAGAGACTTCTAGGAACAGTGGGACTACAGTATCAGGACCAGCAGAAGACAGTGATACAGGGACTGCAAATGTTAAGACTAGGGGAGTTGGTTCTACGTAAAGGACATCTCTTTCAGTTGATCCCTACAGCTAGGACAAGCTGTGATCACAGGAGATTTGGAAATCAAGATGGGCAGCTGGCTTGAATAACACCCTAGATAAATACTCAAAAACCTCAATGAAGGTGAAGGACTGAAATTTTGACCTATGTGAAAAAGAGCTCTGAGTGTACAAAAACAAGTTCATGCAAAGTCTACTGGGACAAACAGGGTTGGTCATGGTGGGTTATTCCACACTACTGACAAGCCAACATGTATGCTGGGGAAGGGCCCCCCAAGTGGAATGCCTGACCATGGGCTTGCTCCAGAGGAGTCTGACTCAGAAGCACCTGAGTGAGGGATCTCACTGGGTAGGTTTAATGAATACAAGAAGTTGTTTCAGGGTTAGGTCATTTTGGTTTTGGCCCATCAATACTTAACATGAATGCAGGATGGAGTCAGTCTTTCTAAGTAAGATGTATTCTGCTGTCGTCATTAGCTGAGCCTTTTGGACTCTTGGGCCTGTGACATCCAGAACGATCCCATTCGTTGGCTGCACGTAGGATCTAGTGCCGTAAATTGTTCTGGGAAGTTGGCATAGAAGATGATTTGCACAATGAAGTCACCACTAAACCACTGCTTAAGTCCAGTCCCCGGCCTTCTTTTTCTGCTCTGTAGTCCAGAAACATTTCTTTAAAAGCCAGAAAATCTGTCAATGTGAGCAGCATGTCAAATATGTCACCAGCCACTTCATCCTTATGGTGCTGTAACGTCGTTGTGAAAGCCGCCGTGTTAAATCCGGGAATGCGCTCTAGCAGCTGTTCTTCAATACACTTTTCTACCAGAGAAATGTATTCATTAAAAATAGGTGTGTAGGTGAGTTTACTCTCTTCTGTGTCTTCAAATTCCTGGTAGTACTTGTCCATGAAATTTCTCTGTAGTATCTGGAACTCGTCATCCATGATAATGTCCTCCAAACAGCCAAGCACGGCATCAAACTCTGCATCAGAGGCGGGGGAAAGGCACAGCGCGCAGCTCTCTTCTACGGCGTCCATCGCCGCCGCCCCCACCCGCGCGGGCGAGCCGGCCAGGTGGGCTCCTACCCAGGTGGGCTCCCGCCCCGCCCGCGGCCGGCCCGGCCCAGCCTCCGCTCTGTCCACGAGGCCCGGCCCGCACCGAGGGCGCGGCGGTCAGCCGGCGGGAGGGACGTCGCCCCGGCCCGCTCCCCGCCCTGCCGGCTCAGCGCCTGCGCGCGAGGCCCGACCCGCTCCCCGCTCCCCGCTCGGCCCGACCCCGCTCCCCGCTCCCCGCTCCCCGCTCCCCGCTCCCCGCTCCCCGCTCCCCGCTCCCCGCTCCCCGGCTGCGGCCGCCCGCCGGCCGGGCCTCTACGCCCTGTTTTCTTTTCTTGATTTATTGCAATAGTTTCATAAGTAGTCTCTTTGCTTCCACTCTTGAGCACCCTCCATAATCCGGCTTTCCCAAAGCAGCCAGTATTAACTTTTAATATAAAAGTCAAAACATTTTACTCCTCTTCCTCAAGCCCTCCAGTGGTATTTATTGCACTTTGAATAAAATCTGAAGTCCTCACTGTGTCCTTCAAGGCTCTGCCTGCCTCCCTGTTAATTTTCGGAACTGATTAACCACGCTCCTTGCTGTTTGTTTCACTGTAGCTACGTTTGGTTGCCTTGCTCTTCCTCAGGCATGTTAAACATACTCTCACCTCACTTCCTTTAGCTTAATGTTCCCTCTGCCTGGCATGTTCTTCCCCTAGATGGCAGCAAGTCTCACTCCTCCAGGTGATCTAGGATCTGTCCTCAAATGTCACGTTGTCAGTGAAGCCTTCTGGCTAACTTAAGGGAAACCACATTCCACCCCCTGCAGCTCTTGCTGTTCTAGTTCTCTTCATTTTTCTTCAGAGTTCATCATCAGAGTTCACATCACCTCTGATATATTTGTTTGTTGATGGTCAACCCTCAAGGAAACTGCAAGCCCTGCTAGAGTCTGGGATTAATGATCCTCGGCTCCTGACAATACCTGGTACATTGGAGGTACTCAGTATTTGCAGGTTGACTGGGCTGTTGAGTGAGCCTAAGGAAGATGCATGTGGAAGTTTTAGCAGTTAAGTAGAACATGGACTGTGAAAATTGCCCCCTTTTAATTCCAGTTTTGCTTCTATAGACCATTCTATGTTCTAGAATAGATGAGAAATGAAATTGGGGTTTAGGATGCTGGAAGGTAACAATGGATAGAGGGGGAAAGGAAATGTAACAGGAAGTATTATGAGTCCAGACTCTGGGAAGCAGAAGTTGCTGAGTTGGTTACCTGCTTATGGGGTAGCCTTTCATTTCTAAGTTTGGAAAGGATAAGAACCAATTTTTGAATGCCCATTTTGAGCTAGTTAGTGTACTGAATACTTTACAGATATCATTTAATTCACAATAGCTCTTTCTAATAAGACTTATGATATTCATCTTACAGAAGAGGAGATGAGACTTAAGAGATAAAATAACCTTCCTAAGATCATATAGTAATGAAATGGAATATTTAGGTCTGACTGACTTCAAAATTCATGCTCTTTCTCATACTTCATAATGCCCGAAGGGGGAGTCTATGTACAATAATTTACATTTCATATGGTGCTGTAAAATTTACAGAATATTTTCACATAGCTCATTTGACTCCTTATAACAAACTTTTGAAAGTAGCTATCATCTCAATGTAGTAGATAATTAGTTAAATTTGGTGTCAGTAATGAATGATTTGCTGCAAATCCTACAGCTATAAAGTAGTAGAGCAAGGGCTTTGAGTAAATCTTGCTTGCCTAAAATCTTATATTCTTTCTATATACTACAGATTTACAAAGAATTTCTTGATAGCACCTATGAATTATATTTGACACATAAGAGCTAAATATGTCATAATAAAATTATTGAACTGGAAACAGTCTTGGATCATGAAGAGCAACTTCCTCATTTACAGCAAAAAGCCAAGAAAGAGGTTTTCTCATCTAGGAAGACTCAGCTAGTTACTGTTAGAGCTGGCATTAGCTAGAATCTAGCTTTTATTACGAAGGAATTTATATTTAATTTCTCTAGGTTTTTCAAAACTCTTGTGTTCCCTCTTTTATTCACTATTTCATATTTGAAAAGCTACAAAAAATTTTTGCCTACTCACCCATTATCTCCTAGCAACTCAGTTCTTTCTACATGTAATGGAAATTAATCAATTTTTGTACATCTTTCTAGAGATCTTTACCACACATAAAGCAAATGCATAAACTCAATGTATTTATTTAACAACATATCTTGCAAATTGTTCCATATTAGTACGTGAAGTCATTTTTTTAATGGCTATATTCATAGTGAATGAATGTTTCATAATTTAACCAGTCATTTGCTGAAGAAAATTTTAACTTGTTCCTGATCTTTTAAATTAAAGACAATTCATTAATGAACTACCTTGCACATATCATTTATTATCTGTCTGGGTGTATTGGTAGTATAAATTGCTAGTAAGTGAAATTGGTGGATCAAGGAGTATCTGTTCTTGTATTTTTTTTTTTAACATATTAATACTTGGGCTTTTATTTTTAATGTAGCAATGGAGTATTTTCATTTTGAATCAAACTGTTTTTGTCTTTTCTGTTTGGCAATAACTTTTTTTATAATTTAAAAAGTATTCACTTATTTAAGGGGCAATAGGATTTCTTTTTTAAACTGGTACAGGCTAAATGCTTTGCTGTTAATATAGCAGGTTAAAGAAAGTGTAATGGAAGTAGTATTGCTTTGGAGTCAGACCTGATTTGAATCCCAGTGCTGCTAGCCTACTGACTTTGTGACCTTTGGGAGGATATCTAACTGCTGAGCCTCAATGGTCTCATCTGTCAAATGGGAATAGTACTAACAGAGTTCTTGTCTAGAACTACTATAGAACTTTTTAAAAAAATGAATATTCTTTTTTTCCCTGCATTTTTTTATTTTAAAATACTAAAGGGGTACAAATGTTTTTGTTACAAGGATAGCTTTTATCATGTTTAAATCAGGGCTTTAAGTGTGCCCATTACCTGAATAGTGTTCATTATACCTGTTAGGTAGGATTTTTACCCCTCCCCTCCTCTCTCCTGCCCCCTTCTTGATTTCCAGTGACCTTTAGTTCTCTCTGTGCCCATCAATTAGTTCCAAATTATTAAAGAGTACTTGTGGTGGTTGTTTTTCCATTCTTGAGATACTTAGGATAATGCTCTCCAGTGTCATCCAAATTGCTGCAAAATACATTAAATCATTTATTTTTATGGCTGAGTAGTTTGTTAATCAACTTATGAGTTGATGGACACTTAGGTTGATTCCACATCTATTCAACTGTGAATTGTGCTGCCATACACATTTGAGTGTAGGTGTCTTTTTGATAAAATGAGTTGTTTTCCTTTGGGTAGATACCCAGTGGTGGATTGCTGGATCGAATGGTAGGTCTACTTTTGGTTCTTTGAGAAATCCAATTACTGTATTTTATCAATTCTCAGGCAAACATTTTTTGCCCCTACATTTTAGTATCTCTGAAATTGAGATGTCTCATAATCAGAGCCATGTCATAGGGGTATTGGTAGCATTTTTTTTTTCTTGGCACATAAAATAATGGTTTTATAATTGATGGAATTTTAGATTTGATGAAATAGGGTAAATCGACATAGAGGGACAAGTGAACTGTGTCAGGGCATGGTATAGGCAGAGGAAACTCATTGTGATGGGGGAAAGCTCAGGGTTGGAAGTGGGGTAGATTGGGTGCTAGAAGGGTAGGTATAGCAATGGAAGTTACATTCTAGGCTAGCAGTCAGCAAGTAGAACCACCATCTAGTGGGAGGATAGTATAACTGGTTGATGGAGCACTGGAACAGAAGTCTAGGTATATGAAAGTTGGAATTTTGGAGAATTGTTGATGGGTAACAAGACTGTGGCCTAGGGTTGAAATTTGAGAACTGCGTGCTAGTTTATGGCAGGAAGAATTTGTAAGAATGGGACTATAGAAGAAAATATTTGCAAATCTTATCTCTAAGAAGGGATTTGTATCTAGAACACATGAAGTACTTATACATTAAACCAGTTGTCCTCAAACTACGACCCGCAGGCCACATGTGGACTGCCTAGCACATTTATCTGGCCCTCCGGGTGTTTTTGCCTGTCCTGCTTAGCAGCCGACTGGTCCCGGGCCCACAGTGCACACTCTCTAACGGTCTGAGGGACAGTGAACTGGCCCCCTGTTTAAAAAGTTTGAGGACCCCTGGATTAACAATAAGAAGGCAACCCAACTTCAAAATGGGCAATCATTTGAATAAAGATTTCTGCAAAGAAGATGTATAAATGGCCAGTAGGCACGCAGAAAGATACTTAGCATCCCATAATGGAAATGCAAATCAAAACTTCAGTGAGATACTACTTTACACCCATTAGGATGACTGTAATCAAAAAGACAGATGCTTGATAACAAATTAGGTAAAGATATTGAGAAATCGATACCCTCAAACACTGCTAGAGGGAAAGTAAAATGGTACAGCCATGTTGGAAAACAATGGCAGTTCTTCAACTTAAAAACAGAGTTAACCTATGATCTAGCAATTCTACTATTAGATATAGATATACAAGAAAGCTGAAAATGTATGTCCGCACAAAAACTTGTACATGAATATTCTTAGCAGCATTGTTCATAATAGTGAAAATGTAGAAACTGTCTACTGATGAATAGATACAGTGTAGCATACTATATGATGGCATACCATAAAAAGGAATGAAGAATGAAATACTGATACATGCTACAACATGGATGAACTTTGAAAACAGTATGTGAAGTGAAAGAAACCAGACACAGAAGATCCGCATATAGCATGATTTCATTTATATGAAATGTCCAGAACAGGCAAGCCTAGTGACAGAAAGTAGATTAGAGGTTTAAGTGGTTCTAGGGCTGGGAGGGAATGGGGGAAATTGGGAATGAATGCTAATGGGTATGAGATTCCTTTTGGGGGTTGTGAAGATGTTCTGGAATTATATGATGGTTACACAACCTTGTGAATGATCAA